GATTAGCCAGTCTAGGTATTGGACTAGAACTATGACTAATACTGGGCTTCCTCCAGGAGAAGTTTGGAAATGGTTAAACCATCACATGCACACCTAAAATCACTATTGTATTAATTTAATAATTTTTTTTTAATTTAATAATATTTAGCCTAATAATGCTTACTGATCAGATAAACAGATTTTTACATCTAATGTTAACCCAGTACTGTAGCTTTTATTATATAAAAAAAGGAAAAAATGGAGCTTTTGTAAAAAGTGTTTTGTTAGTCCTGTAGGTTTGTCCTTGTTTTTGGACAAGGATATTTTTGTCCTTAAAATGTGCAAAAACAAGTTCACACACACACACTGGTTACCATAGTGCTTCCTAAGCTGAATCTGCTGGTTACACAATCTCTCATAGCTCTATACTGCCACCGTGAGGATGTGTTATACCTTATGCAGTTGACTTGTCCCTTTATATTTTGTGGTAAATCCTGTAAATCTGTGCCAGTTGAAGCAAAGACTATTTAAAGTTGGTGGTGAGCGACAGCCTGTACTGATTTAACTGTAAATCTCCCTTTTCTTTCTTCCTTTCTTTTCTCCTGAAGGCTTCATTGACTTCATAGTGGAGCCCACGTTCTCTGTCCTTGTGGACACCACAGAGAAGATAATCACTCCTCTCATAGAGGAAGCTTTAAAATCGGGCGGCTCCGGCGTCCGCAGGTCAAGGTAAGCTCAGACAGATCAGGGTCTACTCAGCCTGTCTGATTCTCTTCCCCTGGGTGAGGTCTTTCCCAAGTCTTAGCTGAATCATCACAAGAGATTGATGTGTCCAGGGAGGAGCCTGGAAGACTTACAGTGTTTAAATCTGTGTAAAAGAACAAAACAGTCACAAAGGATAGAAAACTGGATTGTGACAATGAGCGCGTTTACATGCACTTAATAATCCGATAACTGCAGAAAATCAGATTTGGTCAGTAATCCAATCAACACGTTTACATGCTCTTGAGTAATTAGATAATGGGGAAACTCCTGGTCTACATGAGTCAGACAGTAATCAGATTTCTACTTTGCAACCAGCCAATAAACTCACAGAAGAAGATGTGATGTAAACATAACGTAAAACTCAAACTTCATGTCACAGCTTTTTTTAAACATCGAGTCACTTTACCTGAAAATGTGAACAAACATCATTTAGAAGATGAAGAATATTTAAATCCTTTATTTCGTGTTTGGTTTTGGCGCTGCTCCAAAAGTGTTTTGCTGCATCTCGCAACGTCCACCGTCTGATCTCACACATGTGCAGACTTGGAGTTCCGATCAGAGTAAGAGTTTACATGCACTGAGAAATCTTATTACTGAGCTAAAATCCAGCCTCTTTATCAGATTTCTTAATCGGACTTCTAGATCTGAGTATGGTGTTTACATGACGACATGAATAATCGGATAACTGCAGAAATCTGACGATGATCGGATTATTGAGTACATGTATACGCACTCAATGTTACGCAACATCAGTGATGGAATGACTCAGAATACTCCACAAAGTCTAGTTTTGCTGCAGAGAGAGTATCAAATACATACTTTTACTCAAGAAGCTGGATTCTCTTTATAAACTACTTGTCTGTTGTTTAGTAATTAATCTTAAAGAGGGAATTTCAAGAATTCTACATAATTCAGCTGCTGAGATGTAAACGGAGCAATTCAGAGTGGTTTGGTGTGAAATGGTTCAGATGTCTTTACAGTGGTGGTGATAGGAACCAGGCGTCACCATGACTACAACACAGATATAGACATTTTATTTACTATCCAAAACCACCAGTGAACCTACATTAGTATTTATATGGAATGTTGGTTAGAGGTGGGTAGAGTAGCCTAAATCCATAATCTAGGAAAAGTATTGATACTTGGATAAAATAACGACTCCATTAAAAGTAAAAGTACCTTTCCAAAAACAACTTGAGTAGAAGTATCAAGTAAAACTACTTAAGTACTTAGCAAATAACTGATCTGTAGTGGAGCTTCTTCTTAAATCCAGCATCTATCAGCACATAAACTGAAGTTTGTTAGGCTCTAATCTTTTCTTTTTTGATTCTTTTCATCTAAAACTAACATGCTAAAGCTCCAACATCAATTCAGATGGCAGTACAGATGTTGTCACCAACAAAACGGAATGGATTTAAACACAAACAAGGAGCTATAACTGAACATGAATTGCTAAAATGTAACAAAGTTAAAAGTAGATTCCTTTACTCACTAAAATACCTGGGCAGAAGTAAAAGTTGAAAATACTCAGGAAAGTAAAAATCTATATTTTTCTTAAATACATGCACTTAATATAACAGTAAATATAGTCGTATATAGTAAATATAACTAGTTACTGCCCACCATGTGTTGATGATGATAAAATCATCTTCCAAGGTGCGAAAGAATACGTTTTCTTTGGGGTCTATTTTGCCCCTCAACACCCTGTATGTACCCCTCCGCTAAGTTTCTATAGAACAAAGCATTTTCAGACCACTCTAAATGACTTTGTTTACCCTTTTAATACTTATTATTCAGTAAATACTATGAAACTAATGTAAAAGTTATGTAGTTATGACAGTGATGGCAGAAATGACATTCTGTCTTCTTGGGATTGTAGACTTAGTTCTGCTGCTCTGTTTATTGATCTTGATGACGTACATAATTCATTGCAACTTGAGAGAGAAACTGTTCAATTTCGGTCTGAATGGAAAAGCAAGTAAACGGTTTCATAACTACCTTTCAGACAGAACTCAGTGTGTTGCTGTGGATCATTTCAGATGTCAGTTTCTAGAAATTACTAAAGGTGTGCCACAGGGTTCTATTCTAGGTCATGTATTATTTTCTTAATTCTTAATAATTTGGGAGGCTATTTGGGTGATTGTAAGGTATACCTATATGCTGATGACACAATTCTCTGTACTAGTTCCTCTTCTGTAACATTAGCTGTAATCAGTAGCTGTAAGCATCATCCAACACTCACTATGGCACCTTAATGATTCCAAAAACCAAAAAAAAGTTTCTACGTCTCAAATAGTCACATGATGTGCATATATATATATATATATATATATATATATATATATATATATGTTTCAGTATATAAATACTTCAGAATATGGCTATATATTTACTATACTTTGTTAGTTTTAGTTCATCTCCTTAACACATTTCATATACTTTGGTTTTTATATTTATTATTATTACTATTATTTCCTCATTTCTCTTTGTTGTATTTCATGTGATTTTGGTTTTGTACTAGGGCACCCCTGAAAATGAGGCCTCAGAGGAATGAATGAACGAATGAACGAATGAACGAATGAATTAATGAATGAACGAATGAATTAATGAATGAATGTATGAAAGAAAGAAGGGTTGAAGAGGTTAATAACCACCGTGTGTATCAGTTTGACAGGTCGTGGTTCCACTGCAGTGGTCGAGTCGGTTCAGAGACACAGTGAGAGAGACTGCGGCACCGACTACTCCCTCGCCGGCATCGACCTCAAACGGGTCCGGCACTCACTCGCAGAGGTCATCCAGAGCAACAAGGAGCGCTGGAAGGAGCTGTCTGTCCAAGGTATGTGTATGTCAATATATATCACTAGTCAAAAGTTTGGACACACTTAACTGAACATGCATTTTTGTTTGCTGAATGTGGCCTGTGGAAAATTGATGGCACATTAAATATTTTATGTTTATTTATCTAATATGATAAAGCCTCGTAAAGTGTGTGTTAACTTTTTTGGTAGCACTTTATTTGAACATTACCTACATAAGGACTTCATAACACATGCATAAGCATTGAATAATGTATTTATAAAGCTGTACATCCATATTTATGAACAACATAGGCCATTAAGCGAACAAAGACATGATGTTTTATGAAGTGAATAACATTGTGTTGACATAAGGGGCCTTAAACTGAAATTACAGACTTTTTTATGTTCATAACACTGATATGAAGCATCATTCCCAAGTAATTAAACGTCTCTAAAGCCTTGTTAAGAACATCATATATCAATTCTACTTGAAAAGTACAAAAGTACTTAAAAATACTTAAAGCTACAAAAGTACAATTTCTGTCTGTGTGGCCACAGACATGAAAAGCAGAGTTAGTTGTTCGTGTCTGCGCAGGTCACAGCATCTATAATAACTCTAAATACTTTTAATATTTCAGTCTAAATATTTTTTTTACTTTTTTGAAAAGCAGAAAAACAGATGTCTAACTTCTACTTTTACTGGAATAATATCTTACCAAGGGTATTTCTGCTGCTACTCAAATACAGGATTTTTTGGGGGGATGTGTACGTTCAAGTATATGGAAATATATGTATGAAAATGGTCATTTACGTTTGAGGGCATGAAGATCTTCCATAGAATTGGAGGATTCTTAATTTGTCTCTAACTTATAGGTTCCATTACTTGAGAATGAAGCTTCATAACATTGTTCTAAATGGTATAAATAGCCATCATTTAAGTTTAAGGCTTGTGTTGTGTCATCACATAACAAAATGGAACAGTCTTTAGTCCATAGTCCATATGACTGGGGAGGGGGGGGCTGCATTGAAATCACCGCTGCATTGAGTCACAATTGCAAATAATAGCTGTTTGTAAAATATAGAAATATTTTGGAATGAGTTATTTAACATCAACAAGTACAGTAACTAATTTTCGTGGGGGCCCGAGGCGACTGCCTAATGTTGCCTTATGCAAAGACCACCCCTGTGTATACAGTCCTATATATTTATTACTTGCCATTAAATTCTGCACTGCTGTTCATACCTGGTACTATACCAAAGTATGCACCAGAAAATGACGTTCTAATTTTCCTGGTAAGTACTATGTACATTATATAAGCGAAAGTATTAGGACACCCCTCCTAATTATTGAATTCAGGTGTTTCAGCCACACTCATTGCTAACAGGTGTACAAAATTAGTCATGGCTGGGTGAGTTTGGTGTGGAAGAACTTGACTGGCCCTCACAGAGCCCTGACCTCAACCCCTTCAAACACCTTTGGGATGAACTAGAACAGAGATTGTGAGCCAGGCCCTCTCGTCCAACATCAGTGTCTGACCTCACAAATGCTCTTCTGGATGAATGAGCACAAATTCCCACAGACTCTCCAAAATCTTGTAGAAGCTTCCCAGAAGAGTGGAAGCTGTTACAGCTGCAAAGGGGGACCAACTCCCTATTAATACCTATGGATTTAGAATGGGATTCATAAAAGCTCCTGTGGGTGTAACGTGTAGGTGTCCCAATACTTTTGTCCATATAGTGTATTTACCATGCCATAAAAGTGCTACCATCTCCAAACATGCTGTAGTTGATCTCCTGTTTGTGTTTCTCTCCTTTCATCTGTCTCTCACTCTGTCCATCAGAACTGGCCAGTAAGGAACGTGAGCAGCGATCGGAGCGTGAGGAATTGTCCCGGAAGGCCGAAGTCATGCTGACCCACAGCAGCCCGGCCCGAGCGAGCCACGATTCGGAGTCAAAGTCAAAATCCCTGAATGAACTGAACAACACGCACTCGCCGCACTCCTCTCTGGACTCGCTAGAGCACAGCTCCAGGTCGCCCGGCGACGATCCGGGCGACGGCTCGCCCGAGGCCAGCCCAGACGCCCAGCAGCCTCTACCGTGGAATGGAAAAACAGCTTGAAGTCAGTTGTGGCGCAGCCGGGCGTCTTACACTGTGTGCATGTACTGTGGCGTGATCGCAGGCCAGTATGGGTGATGTACATAGCACTGTGCCCATTGTATCGTAATGCTACTGTATCCTCGGAACTCTGCAGGGTGAGTCGTCACGGTGACCGAGGTCTTTTTTTTTCATGCATCCATGACAGCGGACGTCGTCATAGAGACGGCAGAATGCCACGTCGTCATGGCAACTTCGCTTTTGCAGGATAAGGAGCTCGGCTGACCCTTGTGCGGAGGAATCCGAAGCCGAGCGTCCAGAAACGCAACGCTGCCTCTTACCCATAACCTTTCTTCTTTTTTTTTCTCTCGTTTAATTTCTCTATTTTTGTAAATTGGCTTTTCTTTTCTTTTTTTTTCTTTTCTTTTTTTCAGTCATTTGTAATGGTTATTTATTAAAGATTGTTCTGCTCCTCTTTAAACCACAATCGCTTTCATTTTCAGATTATTTCCCACCTGTTGCCATGGACACCTTGAGACAGAAAGACAGAGAAGATCAAAAATATTTGCCCACATTGTGGCACAAAGGGTTAATGCCATGTTGGCTGCATGTGATATGTATGCACAGTCGTAGGCAAAACTTTGTGTGCCCCTGGTCGAATTACGTTTTGTTGATTTTCTGAGTGTAAATAAATGAAAACATCCTTTTGCACATTTGCACAAATGCACATTTACTGTTTATTTGCTGTTTATTTACTGAATTGGGAGCATATCGGGAAATAAAGCATAAAATGTGTGCAAAAGGACTTTTTTTCCAATATGTTAAACTCAGCAAATACAGGATTGAGGATGTGTTCACTTATTTTTACATAGAAAATTAACAAAACATGTCATTTGACCAGGACACACAAACTTTTGTATACAACTGTATAAAGCCTGGACCTGACACTAACCGTCTAACTACACCTGGTCATTTCATGTATCTTCACTGCAAAAAAATTATATTGTCAAGTGAGATGATCTTAAATCTAGTCGATCCAGTTTATATTTCTCATTTTTAAGACGGTTGTGCACTGATTATAAGATTATCTAGCTTATTTCTAGACATTATTTACTTATTTTAGGTGATTTTATCAAGTAAATTGATCTCACTATAGTGGCAGATAATGTTGCTGGTTTCAAGCACATTTCTCAAAACAAGCATAATTATCTGCCACTATAGTGAGATCATTTTACTTAATAAAATCACTTAAAACAAGTAGAAATGTCTAGAGATAAGTTGAATAATCTTAAATTAGGATTAAATTAATTTTTGATATATTGACTAGATTTAAGATCATTTTACTTGACAAAATACTACTTTTTGCAGTGTTAAGTATCAGGATGATTTCTGGATAGAGATTATGCACATTAGAAATGCAGGTGTAAACACACCCGAGACACATTTAAAACAGATTTAAATCTGATTACTCAGTCACTTTGGGAGGTCTGAGACACATTTTAGCCACACGTTATACAAGCATATACGTGTCCGTCTTTCCAAGACACATTCAAAAAGAGCCCCTCCCAACATTATGACCCCTCACCCCTCTGTTCTGCATTTGGGGAAGACTCCGCCCACTATAGTGCCATCATTAGCATCACTGCTCCTTCAGTTCAGCCATGAGTTTCAACTCTGAGTTTAATTTAGTAGCTGTCAACAGCCCCAGCTTGTTAAAATAAAGCACCAGCGTGGCTCATCTTTTCTTTACCTCGTTGTTATTCACTGTATCGCTACAATACACTACATTTTAAATGGCCCATAGCATGAAAAAACAAAACTTTCCTCCTTTTTTGGAAAAAAGAGTTTTAACATTGTTAAAGTTTCTCTCCCCAGTCTATACTGTCCATATATGCAAACTAATCTGCAAAAACAGCCTGTTTTTAATGCATTGTTTTTGTGATGTCATGAAAAATGGACATGCATTTACATATATCTGCCTATTAGCCTATAGCATTTTAGCTCCGCCCACTCATACTGACGTTATAAGGACGGCTTGTGCTTATAAGACAGTGGTCACCAAGCCTCCTCCTGAGTTTCGTTCAAACCCTCTCCCTTACCTACACTCTTAAAAAAGACGGTTCTTTTAGGGTTCTTTAGTGACGAAAATGGTTCTCTATAGAATCATGAACACTCAAAGAACCCTTTGCATGATTAAAGGGTTCTTTGCATTATGCAAGCGTTCTTTAGACTGATGGAGAATGTGCTGTGGCTGTTTCTGTATAGAATATTTTTCAAAGGGGTTCTATATAGGTTCCACTATTGTTACAATCCAAAGAACCCTTTTTCGGTTCTATATAGAACCCTTTTTTGCTAAGAGCGCGACACTGATGCATCTGATCCAGCCAATCAAGGACTTCTGAAGAAGTTCATTAGCAGGTGTGGCAGGTTGTGGTTGGAACTATCCTCTGCAAGAAGGTAGATCTCCGGGACCGGAGCTGCTAACTACTGTTCTAAAAGATGAGCGGTTGGAAAATGGTCATGGAATTTTCAATACATGAAAACATATAAACATCACAGCTGGACCTCAGGGAAAAAATACAATAGATGAAAAATGTATGATTTGGGCCTTTTAATGCATGTAGTCCATGACCACAATGACTAATACTTGTAAACATTGGTGTGAAGCAGGTGTGTAAATTAATAATGGCTTGCAAAATTGTAATTTTTGAGGTGGAAACCAACAGGAAAAAGGAGAAACCACAAAGGCGATTAGCTGTTGCATATAAGCTGATTCGTATATTACGTGATATGCAGTAATCAGATTGAAATATGACTAACCAGAGACGCATTTGATTAGCAATCGCAAAGGCATGCAGTTAAAATCTTATCAGGTCACAACGCAGATGCAGGTCACCTGAAATGACAAGGTGTAAATGGGGTCACTGATCTCACCCTACCAGGCCGAGCTGGGACCACTTAGCTTGAAACCTAAACCCTACGCGAGTTTGCTAGACTCTTGTATACATAGACTATACTACAGTCTCAGAAAAATCTGTACTTTTCAGGGTACACACTCCATCACTGTTGTGGACCCCCTTAAGGGTACATCATTAGTATCTGGCACCATATTCTCTTGCGGTTGTACTTTTCAGTCACACTGACTCAATACAACCTGACTCCAGGCCTTTTCTCTTGTTTTTCTACTTAAAAAGTTACGAACAGGTACAAATACGCAGCGCTTCCCTGGGAAACTGAAAGTGGTGGAGCTTTAAAACTCATTTCAGGGACACAAGAGGGCCTTAAAGACATTGTTGTTCCTTTGAAGGGACATTTTCATTGTTTGTACCTCGGGAGACTAGGACACACTTGGACAGTAGCCTTTAAGTTTTGTGCTTTTCAGGGTACAAAAAAGACATTCCATCTGTTTTATGTGAAGCATTAACATCTAAAGATCTGTGCAAAAGTTTGTGCACCCCAGTCAAATTCCATGTTGTTGTTGATTTTCTGTAAATAAGTGAAAACCCTCTACAGAGACACATTTCTGCACTTTTTAATACACAATTACTGAATTTAATATATTGGAAAGAAGACAAAAGCAGTGTCCAGTGCAAAATTTATGGTTAATTTCATGTATTTTCTTTCCTTTTTAAAGCAGATCAATGGAAATTGTGCGCTATAATCTGCACAAAAATGTCATATGTAAGTGTGTTCTCTGCAGAGGATGTGTTAATTTAATTTTATAAAGAAAATCAACAACATGGACTTTGACCAGGGGTGTCCACTTTTGCATACAATTGTATATAATTGTATATATTTGTATAATCTGACATATAGAATTTAAGTTAAATTAAATTCAAATAAAAGCCACCATGAGGCCTCCTGAATGGTACAACCATCTAAGCGCTGGCCCTTGCAAGTTCGATCACAGGTGATGCTACAACCATCCGTGGCTGGGAGTCCAAGAGAGCACAATTGGCCTCGTTCTCTCTGGGTGGATAGGATGGCCCCCATCTTCTCTCATCATCCGGCACAGTACTAGCCAGTGCAGGTGTCTGTTAACTGATGTAACAGCTGGTGGTTAGTGTTCTCCTCCAAGCGTGTTCAACGTTGCGTTAGCAGCCGTTCGAAAATATATGGTGGAGCTTCACAGGACTCAGAGGAAGCCTGCGCTAGCCTTCGACCTCTTCACACTGGTGGTATCGTGTGACTGGGGCAGTCCTAACTAGTGGGTGGAATTGGATATGTCTAAATTGGGTGGGAAAAAAAGCAACCATGAGCCCAATCTGAGCCTGATGTGGAAATTTCACCCCAAAACCTGACCCGGGCCCTGTCAGGAGACCTTTAGTGTATACCAATGCAATCACATGTAGGCTGCAAAGAAATCTATTAGTTGTATACAGATACAGAAAAAATCAGCAAATGATGAAGTATTGAATGAAAAATTAAAGTTAATCTTGGTTTCTTCGATTGCTACAGCTTGTAAGACGTGAGACTTTATCTGACCTGTTGCATAACTTAACACATTTTAAAACACACAAGGTAATTTAAAGAGCTGATGAAAGAGTCTTGGAGGAGAACATAGAGAGCACAACCAAGTTTATTTATTTCTTTATTTTTTCTTTAATGGATCAAGCTGCTGACCATCTGGAAATTTCTGCTAAATACATTTCATCACCAACAACGGCTGTAAAAATGCACAGCTAATTCTGCCAGCATGCTGTCAACATGGAACTGTGGCCGTTTATGCCATAACACTCTTTAACAGGGTGTTGATGAACATTCAGGAGTTATTTGAATTAAAATCATAATCATTGCTGTGAAAACTGAACCCATAATAATGTAAATGTCATGCAATCACATTAAGATTTTTTTTCCCATTGGCTTATTTAAGCCTTAGGGGAATTCCACCAATATTTCAAAATTTCAGTGGCTGAGATGAAAACAGAGTCATTCAGAGTGGTTTGGTGTGAAATGGTTCAGATGTCTTGTGGTGGTGATAGGAACCAGGGGTCACCATGACTACAACACAAATATAGACATTTTATTTACTTTCCTAAACCACCAGAGAACCTACACGAGTCTTCTGAGTTTATATGGAATATTGATGATGGTAAAGAAAGTGATAAATCTGAAAGAATATGTTTTCTTTGGGGACTATTTTGTCTCATAACATCCTGCATTTATCACTCCACCATGAATGTGTTTTATATTAGGCCTAAGCGATTGAGCAGTGTTATTGGATATTGTCGGTGACGATGCTTCAAAGGTGATAATTGCTGTTTTGGGAATTGAACTGACAGAAAACTAGAGAGAACTAAATTATTTAAACAGCTTGCTAAATAATGTTAAATAATGTGTACACTTAATGTTTTATTCACTTTTACTGATAAAATGTTGGGTTATTACGGGGCCTTAAAAATCCATTAGGCTGCAGTAAATTCCAAACTGTCTCTGCTCTGGTTTCTGTTTCCCAGAGTGTGATTTATCATCTGAGAAAAAGTTGCATTATTTTTCTTACAGGTGAAGTGTCTTGATGATTCAGATGAGTCATATATTAGTTATATATGAGTCATAAATTATAAAAATATAATTATTCATGCTTTTCCAAAGGCATCTATAGCTAAATTCTAGAGTGAATCCACACCAGAAGGAGCTCAAGAGTGCACGTTTATTTAAGTAAGATCTATTAAAATGACAGGTGTAGTTTTACAGTAGTTTTCAAAAGATGTTGAGTTACTCAGTATTGTATTATTTAATATGTGATTTTTAAGGTTTTTAAAAGAATATAAACCAAAAATATAATAGAAAGTACAAAAAGCTTCAGCAGAACGTGTGTATTGTTTGGAGGTGGTGATATAATCAATAATCATGATTTTTTAACTAGCAAATATCATGCTAATTATTTTTAGATATCATACATGACTGTTTAAAAATATATTTTAGGCCAAAACTTTCTCAGAACTATTGTAATATCACATCTTAGACATCAGGCGGTGTAATCATAACATTTTCATCATCTGTGAGGGAGCTTTTAGATGCATGAAACTTAACAAAAGTCTTGTTCCATTTACTGCCATTCAAGTTTCTCTAGAACAGAGACAAATCAATCTGAATGACTTTGTTTACATCTTAACCATTAAATGATGTACTTTCTGAAACATTGGTGGAACCACCACTTCAGTTCAAAACAAAAGTGACCATTTTAAGCAACAGTTGGTTTCCTCAGCCTCTAAAGGTTTGCTCTGTTACACCTCAAATAAAGTTTTAACACAAATAGTAGCAAGTATATATTTCTTTCTGTTTGTTTTTGGATTATAAACTGATCTAACATTGTGTAAAAGGCCATGCTGGTGTAGATATGGAGCTTTAAATCTGCCTCGAGCTGCGGCCTCTTCTCAATACAAAACAGCCAGGACTACAAAAATACTGCATCTGCCACAGATCGTTCTGAACACTGACCAAAAATAGTGTAATCATCATAGTTCCTCACTCGTTCATTTCTCTAGTGTATTGCTGTGATGCATAGCTGTGACATCTCGTTTCTCATCATCACCTCTGATTCACAGGGATATAAAATCTGAAAAGATAGGATAAAAAAAAAAAACATGAACCGTGGACATAAAGAAACAATCTTTAAAAACAATAAAAGAAAATCAAATCTGAGAAAAAATCAAAGCCCATTACCAAATTTAAAACTCTCAGTGGGCCAAAAAGGACAAAAACAGGAGTCGTTAAGAACAAAACATTTTCAATCACTTCCTTAAAAATGAATTAATTTGTTACTCGGCCTGCGCCTCTCTCTCCTCACCGCAGCTCTCCTCATCCTCCTGAAACGCAGAGGAAGACTCCGCCTGGCCCTTCATCATCTGCCCTCCTGAAGAGATGAACAAGAAGTTTACTCGCATGGAATTTACTCGATTCATATGTTTACATCATTTATACATAAAATTGTATGTATTACATCAACACAATTACAAGCAAAACTAAATTGAAAGACAAACGTGAAAGAAAATTATGTACATATTTGAAAAAAACTAACTTTTTAAAATTAGATTGAATTTAATGTAAAAAATAAATGAATAAGGCACTTTTTCCAGTAATTTATGTAAATATATGTGTATTTAAGGCTATAAAAAGTAAAAAAAAAAAAAGCAAAGAACTGTGTAAAGGTTTGGGCACCCATAAACTGAAAAGATGTAAACTCAACCACAACCTTCAGTCTTTCTGTTCTTGTTTAGGAATTCCCACACACACTTCCTTGAAAAATGCTCTTAGTTCTGAGTTATTCGTGGGTCAGGTTTAAGACCTACTACAGATTTTTAGGGGACTGTGAAGGACATTTCAAAAGTTTCAGCTTGCATTTCTTGAAGTAGTTCATGTTGGATTTTGGGGTATGTTTAGGATCATTGTCCTGTTGCAGAAGCCAGTCTCTTTTCAACTGTAGTATTTGGACTGACATTTCTTCTAGTATTTGCCGAATATGTTGATAAACCCAAGCTTTTATCTACCTGTGCAGTGTTTCCTGTGCCACTGGTTGCCACACAACCCAAAAGTATAATAGATTCACCCCCCTATGCTTAACAGTTGGCAAGGTGTTCCTTTCACCAAATGCTGCTCCTTTTTTCAGTCATGTTTGGTGATTGTGACCAAAATGCTTCATTTTTACTTCAACAGTCTACAGTGCTTCCAAAAATACTCCTGGAGTATCTTCAAATGTTGACATTTGTGATGAGCAGTTTTCCTTTGATGACTCTTCCCTGCAGATCACATTTGTGCAAGCAACACTGACAGTAGAACAGCACACCACCACTCCTGTGTACTCTCAGAAATAAAGGTATGAAACTGTTACTGGGGCAGTTCCCCTCTTGTCACTGGGATGGGACCCTCAAGTGTACCTCTCAGTACCTTTAGTCAGGGAACATAACTGTACCATATTTTCTAAGCTGTACTGACTCCACACACCCCGTCTCGTCTCCAGGACTTTATTTTACTGCTCTGTTTAAAACATTCGGTTATGAAAAGGTACAAATACGAACTTTTCACCTGGAAAAACTTACTTAAGGTTCACAATCAGACCTTAAAACCACTGTTGTACCTTTGAGGGAACATCTACATTGTTTGTACCTTGATGAATGAAAAATGTACCTGAACAGAACCTTTATTTCTAACAGTGTGGTGGCTAAACCTTCCTGCAAGTCTTTTTCTGTCATATGGGGGTTTTGCTTTGCCTTTCTATCTGAGAGTTTTCTTGGACATCAGATCTTGCCTTGACTTCCACATTTCGGACAGTGGACATTCTGAGCTGAAGCTCTTTGATATGTTTTTATAGTCATCTTTGCTTTGTAGGCATCAGTCTGCTTCATTTTCAGATCCTCAGTGAGCTGCTTAGAGGACCTCATGGTTGTTGAATGTTAACACGAGGTTTGATGAGTCAGAATTTACTACAGTTTGGAATTCTCTTAACAAATCCTGACCTAATAAGTCCTAATAAGTCAGCTGAGGCCCAATGAGTTAAGCTCTAGGACTTTACAACCGTCTAAACTTTTGCACTTGCCACAATTACAATTTTATTTATTCTATTTTTTAAGTTCATCAAATATAAAGTAACTTTGTTAGCATTTGCAGGAAAATGTTCTTGTTAAATGTGCGTTTACTCCTTTTCACTTTGGAAATCAGCAAAATATGTTATTTTGGCTAACGTTGGCCAAATTTGCATAAAACCACATAAAGTGCAGTGAACGTATGGTTTAAACTCCAAAGGCATATCCGTTATTGCAAACATTCACAGATTCTCATCCACCTATGAGGTCGAATGTAGCGTTAGCAGTTTTATTCAAGACTTTACGCTTTTTGTGGTGTTCTTGCTAAAACAGAGAATAAAACTCCCCAGTGATGACACGTATCGGTGTGTGCGAACATGAAAACACTGAATTATCCCTATAAATTATCAGCTGTAATTCCAGTATCAAATCAATAATAATAATACATTTTTCCTACTACAAGTTTGAAGAAAATATCCCTTTTCCATGCATTTACTGGCAGAATAAGTTTGAATTTGGGCCTCATTTTGAAGTATTTCCCAATGTTGAGTCCTTGTAGTTTGATTAACAAAGCAAGATAACTAAAGCCAAAAGTCAAGCCTGTGCAATAGGAGGAGAGAGACTTTCTACTTTCTTAGGGCTTAGGTTATCAAGCTTTACTTGCTCTGTGAAACACATACTATATTCTAACACACCCACTATAACATTATGGATGGCTTACATAGGGTTAATTATTCATTAATGAATCTTAAAGTGCATATTTAGCAAGTACTATAAATTACTCAGTAACTACTATATAACTAACCTAGAATACAGAGTTTTGAGAGTGAGAAGATGAATTGAAGCCAAAATTCAGACGCTTAGGTCCAGTTTCCTAGATAAGGATTAAGCCTAGTCAGGGACTATATTTTCCTTTCAGTGGAAAATCTCTGTTCAAAATTCTGTCTAGTCCAAGACTAGGCCTAATCCTTATTTAGGAAACTGGCCCTTAGAGTTTAACCCTCTAAAATCCTGGATTAATTACATCCTAGGGCTTCTTATTCAGTAACTACATGGACTGCAGTGTAAACTGGCTGAGATGTTCTTAAAATAAAAAGATGAACTGTAATAGAAGTTTGCAGTTTACAGTATTAGAGAAGGAAAACACAAGAGTGCACAGTGCATGAGTTCGTTCAGAACCAGACTAGAGAAACACTGCAATCAGAGTGATTCTTCAGTCCCAGAGATCAGGCCACACTGGACAGCCAAGACAGCTCACACACTCCTAAAGCAACAGCGCCCTCTGGCGGTTCCTACAAGTTTTGATGAAGTAACTGAAGTTTTTCTGGGAGAAAATCTATGCCTGAAACATCCCTGTACACACACGTTTAACGTCGCTGTCAGAAAACAACTCACATCTCCAGAATGGAAGGGAATGTAAAGAGATTTTATTCCAAGCAGTTCGGACCACTTCGGTTGGTCTATTCATCAAATTACTGCACAATATAAACAAAAAATGGAGATACAATCTGCTTGTCTTTGTTCTGACAGCAAAGATAAGCAGAAAATGAGTGAAGAAAAAGGGAGATGTTTTATTATAAATTGAATTTGATGAATGGAAACAAGTTGATATAAAGAAAATGCAATTTCATCATATTTTTATCATTTCTTTCCAGATGGCAAAAACATCAGAAGCACAAACTCAGACCTGTCGATAATGTCCTTACAGAAAGTCACATATGTTTCACAAATGAGGTGTACGGAGCCCTGCTGGTGACATGGCGACCTCCTTGGTAATGCATGGGAATGAGATAAATAAGTTGTGGCCGTAGGCTTGTCTAGCCCCTTTTTAGGGGTGCTCAGGAGCCCCAGCACCCCTAAAAATAACAGTATTTAAACAGAAGTTTGTCTCTGATGAGCAAATGTCATGATCCACTTTCTCTCTCCTAGTCTTCCCCCGCCCCGCTCTCCCCAGAGCTGTGCAGCAGCAGGTGGATCCACACTGCACACCTGCTACTGGAGGATTTCTTATTACTCAGCACCAACACATTACAGACATTACCAGCGGTCCTCATTTCTGCTGCGCTGAATCACAGATCACTCTTTATGTTGTTCTTGTTAGAACATGTTTTGTTATTTTATAGGCCTGTGTGTTGATATTAAAGCCAAGGTGCTAGACTTGTACTGTCTGTATGCGTATCGGCTAATAATGTTATAGAATGATGGAAGATAAGATGAGAAAAAAACAGCGGGGGTTGGGTGGGGGGAGGTCTCATTGGGTGCTCAGCACCCCTAAAGCTCTGATCCCAGAATCGCCCCTGGTTGTGGCCACGACTTACTAAGGTGTGGAAACGAGATCATGCTTTAAGCTGTGGTCAAGGCTTAATTATCTCATTCCCACACCTTACTAAGTCATGGCCACACATTATTTTTATTTATGTGGGATGTCACCAGCAGGGCTCTGTAGAGGTGTGCAAAAACCACAGGTTCACAAATGATCACTAGACTTTTCACATAGAAACCATTTTTACACTATCACCTTTTTCATGTGAGACATTTTAAACATGTGAAGTGCACAAAAACCACGTCTATTTACACACTGTAGTAACCTCTGTGTGCGTCCAGACCACTTTGTGTCCTTGTTAAAACTCCAAATTGTTACATTTTTTTCTAGAGTGCCCCCTTGTGGATAATCTTGTTAAACGTGAAAGAGTGAGTGAGTGAGTGAGTTGCAAAGTTAGTGTTCAGTTAGTGTGTCTTAACATTTTTATTCAGTTGAACTATGAATAGTAATTTAACAGAACAAGAGTCTGTGTTTTTGTGCACTGTCAACTTATTTTTTGAAGTTCAAATAACAAAATAACAAAATTTTAAAGTAGCCAGAACACTTAAATACAAAAATACCCCCCTTCTCCGCACATTTTAGTTTGCTATACTCTACCATATGCGCTATAACATCATGAAGGGCTTATTAACTCCTTAATGCAAGCTTACTATTCACAGTTATTAGTCCCAAGACTTATGACTGCTAGTACCTACTTTAATTCCCCTATTGGACAGGATTAAGCTATCAAAATTGCAGACTTATTGTTCATTGATTCATCTTAAAGTGTGTTATTAAGTAAGTAATATAAATTGTACTATAAATGACTCAGTAACTACTATGAAACTAATCTATAATATAGAGTTTTGTGAGTCAGAGGATTAATTGAAGCCAACATACAGACCCTTAGGTCCAGTTTCCTAAGGGTAAGGATTAAGCCTAATCGGGGACTATGTTTTCCTTTTAGTGGAAAATCTCTGTTCAAAATCCTGTGCAGTCCTGGATTAGGCTTAATCCCAATCTGGGAAACCAGCCCTTAGAGTTTAACCCACTTTTTTGTATTCTGGATTTACTTTAATTCACATTCAGATTTTTAAACAGAATGATAATCTAATTCATTACATGGCTTACATAACTATATACACCAATCGGGCATAACGTTCTGACCACCTCCTTGTTTCTACACTCATTGTCCATTTTATCAGCTCTACTTACTATATAGGTGCACTTTGTAGTTCTACAGTTACAGACTGTAGTCCATCTGTTTCTCTGATACTTTGTTAGCCCCCTTTTACCCTGTTCTTCAGTGGTCAGGACCCCCATGGACCCTCACAGAGCAGGTATTATTTGGGTGGTGGGTCATTCTCAGCACTGCAGTAACACTGATGTGGTGGTGGTGTGTTAGTGTGTGTTGTGCTGGTCTGAGTGGATCAGACACAGCAGTGCTGCTGGAGTTTTTAAACACTGTGTCCACTCACTGTCCACTCTATTAGACACTCCTACCTTGCCAGTCCACCTTGTAGATGTAAAGTCAGAGACGATAGCTCATCTGCTGCTGCACAGTTTGTGTTGGTCATCCTCTAGTCCTTCATCAGTGGTCACAGGACGCTGCCCACAGGACGCTGTTGGCTGGATGTTTTTGGTTGGTGGACTATTCTCAGTCCAGCAGTGACACTGAGGTGTTTAAAAACTCCAGCAGCACTGCTGTGTCTGATCCACTCAGACCAGCGCAACACACACCAACACACCACCACCACGTCAGTGTTACTGCAGTGCTGAGAATAATCCACCACCCAAATAGTACCTGCTCTGTGAGGGTCCATGGGGGTCCTGACCACTGAAGAACAGGGTAACAAAGTACACAGAGAAACAGATGGACTACAGTCTGTAACTGTAGAACTACAAAGTGCACCTATGTAGTAAGTGGAGCTGATAAAATGGACAATGAGCGTAGAAACAAGGAGGTGATCATAGTGTTATGCCTGATCAGTGTAATTAATTGTGTAATTAAATATAAATGATTAAGTAACGTAGATTGAATGTATAGCAAATAGACAGTAACGACTCCTCTGGAACTAATTCTGGAACTCATGAGGAAAGGTGAGTGTGTGGAAGGGGGGGGGTGTACCTGTGGTGAACGGTGGCTGCTGTTGGTAAGGCGTGTCTTTGCGCCGGGGCAGGACGTCCGCCGGCTCCTCCGAAAGTGTGGAGAGCTTTTGAGGGTGAAGACTCTCCTCCTGGCCAGATCTCTGTGAGTCGGAGTGTTCCCTGCCTGCAGGAGTGTACAGCACAGCATGAACTATTCCACTCTATTTAGTTCAGCTTTAGTCTATGACAGAAGTTGTGCCAAAGCAGCTTGAACCAGCACTCAAAAAGGGGAAGCTGTCCTCCTCTGAGCCGCACTGAATAGTGCAGTTAAGATACAAGTAGGATGAGTATGAACAGGAGAAGAGTAAAGAGATGAAGCAACCTGACAAAACGTCAGGAATAGCGCTGGTCTTTGACTGATTGTGCTTGATATACAGAGTACAGAATAATACAATAATAATGATAATAATAATAATAATAATAATAATAATAATAATAATAATAATATAGTACTACATGTATTAGAGAACATCACAGGCAAGGAGCTCAAAATCGTTTGTTTAGAAACCAGTTAGAAAAATTTCTTCAGGAATTCGGCCTTCAAGCTAATGACTGCTGTCATGTCCTGCTTTACAGGCGAATTATTCAAATTTTCTGCATAATTAAATGGTTAAGATGTAAACAGAGTCATTCAGAGTGGTTTGGTGTGAAACGCTCTGTTCTAGAGAAACTTACCGAGTCAGAATTGTTCACAGTGGTGGTGATAGGAACCAGACGTCCACCTCTAACTGAAATGGTTATGAATACGCTGCCTGATATCTGAGACATTTTTCATGTCTGTTCATTTTTGTAAATAACAGCAATTTGTACAGTGGTTTTAGAATTGCTCAACCTGCGTAATGATTCGGAGGGGGGATTCACAGTGTTTGCATTTTGAACCAAAGCACCTTTTTTCTGTTGTCTTCAAACCTCATTGTCTTAGTATGCATGTTTTATGCTTCTTGTGCTACTGTCTGTTGTGCTGAGCCCTCCGGACACCCTGAGTTATAAAAAAAACAGTCATGAACCCGACATCAAAAGTGTTTTATTCAGTGCTGACCAATCAGATCAAAAAAAAATCACAGGGTACCCTAAACTGCACGATTTCACAGATTAAAATTAGTTGATATAAACAAACTCAAATGCACATTTTAAATACGGGCAGTGTTACATACATTTAGTACATACATGCGTATTTAAATATACTGACATATATACGCATAAACTGGCAATTATTTACATTTTCAAAATAGCACAGTTAAATATATTTTGCACATTTATTTTTAGTATATTGTTCTTCCATATGGGGAATGTATGGAGTTAATTTTATGCCAAAAGTTTCAAATAAAACAATAAAATCCACAAGCAAAATCTTGATTTTTGTCATTTCTTATTTTTTTATACATTATTTGAATACTACTGCTCTCCTTTACATTGTGTGAAAATGTCATGGTGACTGGACCAATAGAAATGCTCCAAAATCAGTAGGAATATAATCTCTTTACATGAACTTTCATTAAAAGTTAAAAACGTTTTTTCTTTTTCTGTAAAGTTACCTTTTCGAAGAGTTACCTGTTTTTTGTTGGACAGTGACGATATATATTTTTCACACTTCTCAAACTCAAAATATTAGTTATGCTTAAATCAGTATCTGAGTGAAAGCAGATTACAGTGTATACCTCCCTTCAGCACACCCCACTGCACCCCACCGCACCCCACCCACCCCCGGTTCATTTGTTTCTTTGGGTTTTTTTTTGGCTGTGCAGTTGAAATGTTAATCCTTCTCATTCAGCCAAATTTCACAATCATGAAATTTCATATTAAATCTCGTTTTATGATGATGCATTTTTGCATTATGCCTCAACATTTAGGTAGTCTAGATTAGTCTATTAGTAGTCAGTTTGCTGCTATTTATGCTGGTCAGTCAGTATGCATAGCCAAATACAATTCACGTCTGATCACACCATGTCTGAACAGCAAGCGACAAGGATGAAACCAAAACACTCCCATTATGATCAGTGAAGCTGTGAGCTGGTCTTAGTTAATCTGAAAACACAGTTACAAGGAAAAACGTCTTGTCGCTGCTGTCGGAACAAAACCTCGTATCTCAATTTTTTGTCGTTTTTCAGTTTTTGAAATAATTTGAAAATACCTGTTGCCCTTTACACTGTGTCCAAATTTCATGATGAATGGAACAAAAGAAATGAACCAAAATGACTTGGAAAAATGTCTGGTTCCATTGACTTACATTAAAAGTAAAGTCTGTTTTTTCCTTCTCCTGTAAAGTTACCATTTTGGTGATACAAGGTTTTCTTCTGACAGCAGCATTATTTTATTACATTGTGGCTTTGCTAGGAGGAAGAATCAGGAGAAGCCATGTTCTGCTTAGAAAAAGGCTCTTGTATTAAGACTAGTTGAAAATGAGGCACTGTCAAAACGAGGCACAGGTCACTCCTAGCCCTGTATTTCCTCTCAATGTTAAGCTCTGACCCTTAACAATCCAGGTTTATTTCATACTAAGGCTTATAATTCAATACCTACAGGGACTTCAATGCAAACTAATGTAGCTCTTCTTAGGTTATAGAAGTGTGTAATAAAACTTTGGGCCATGGCTTGTTAGGGGGTTAACTAAACCCATACCCCCAACACAAAACCACACATAAAAACACATTTCAAACCCAGGAACAACAACATAAACAACAATAACTGTCACTCAAAAAGGGGGGACACCTCCCATGAGCCTCTTCCTATGGTCTTTTTTGTATGCCTGCTTGCAAGCATCAGTGGAAAGGCAGCCAGAGGCAGGATTAACTTAAAATATCAGAGTCGACTCTGGCAGGATCACCTCTAAGGCGTCTGCAGAAAGAGCTTAAATTAGGTGTGAAAGTTGGAAAAACACCAAATATATGCAGCGCAGAGGTTTAAATCCTTTGATCGCTCCTGATCTGAAACCGATGTAACCAGAATTCATTTGCTCACATATAATAGACACAGACGAAGTAAAGAAGAGCACTGAGCGTGAGGGAGACTTGTGTTATCTGAGAGTTTTTTTTACCCAAACGTGGGCTGCTTGCAGGGAATCACGACGGCGTAAAATCTGTGGGAGTCTGGAGCTCATGGAGAAGAGCGTGAGCATAAAAAAACACCACACACTCCACAAGGTTTTTCATTTCAAGCTTGAAAAATCACCTTTATTTCTTTCTCTGTAGTTCTCTGATCCATCATTACATAAATAAAGTCAGAATTCTGCACAGAAACCATTATGACCCGTCTGAATGTGCCAGAAAATATGCTGCCAGTATTTTTCATACCACAGACACTGACTTAAATTATCATAAATGGAATATGTTCAAAGAATAAACAAACCTTTTTTTATGTAGAATTGAACAGGCATATTGTGGAACCCAAACAGAATAGATACAGAACATATGTTGACTCATTAAATATGAATATTACGTTTGATATGGCTTCAAGTAAAAGTACAGTGTAGGATGTATACAGAAAGAGAGTTGTTGTAGAAAGAAAGAGCGAAGAAGGAGGAGGAATACAGCTCAGACGATTCAGGCATAAGGCTATCGAGAGACAGACGAAGGACTGGACAAGTTTTTCTGCTGACACTCTGAAGTCTCTGGCGACTCGCCTGCATAATAATGCCAAAAACAACGGTAACGACAAAAGAAAATAAAGGAGAGACAAAGAGAGAAACAGGATTTATCAGCAAACTCAGAAGCTGCTCGAAACAAAGTCATCTGTCCTCATCACCACAAAGCTGAATCACTCCCACACCACACTGACCAGAGTTTATTCAGTAAAACTGATTTAACTGTAACAAAATATGCACTGGTGACACTTAGACACACTTGAGTCCCTTGAGGTACAGTTGAGTCCCAGGAATGAGTCAACCACTCCCCGGCCAATTTGTCAGAAACACCTCTCTTGTACCTCCACCTTGCTGGAGTACAGTTAGAGACTGTAGATCATTTGCTGATGCACAATCTCTAGACCAAACCCTTCATCAGTGCTCAGTTTCTGACCACGGAGTGGCAATATTTCTGGGTGGTGGACTGCTGCGCTAAGGTTTCTAATAAAGTGGCCAGTGAGTGGATGTACAAGGAAGGTGTTTCTAATAAAGTGGCCAATTAGATGAAGTACAAGGTGGGAGTTTCTAATAAAGTGGCCAATGAGTGGACAAGGTAGGTATTTCTAATAAAGTGGCCGGTGAGTGGAAGTATAAGGTAGGTGTTTCTAATAAAGTGGCCAGTGAGTGGAGGTACAAGGTGGGTGTTTCTAATAAAGTGGCCAGTGAGTGGAAGCACAAGGTAGGTGTTTCTAATAAAGTGGCCAGTGTGTGGAAGGTGCAAAGTGGGTGTTTCTAATAAGTATAATATAGGTGTTTCTAATAAAGTGGCCAGTGAGTGGAGGTGCAAAGTGGGTGTTTCTAATAAAGTGGCCAGTGAGTAGAAGTACAAGGAGGGTGTTTCTAATAAAGTGGCCAGTGAGCAGAAGTACAAAGAGGGTGTTTCTAATAAAGTGGCCAGTGAGTGGAGGTGCAAGGTAGGTGTTTCTAATAAAGTGGCCAGTGAGTGGAAATACAAGGTAGGTGTTTCTAATAATGTGGCCAGTCAGTATAGGCTAAACTGAGTACAAAAGTCTTAATGAATGCCCAATTAAAATTACTTCTCTGTTGAGAGTGAGATGGATATTTAAAGGGCCCATATAAAGAAAAAACAAATATTGTTTTTAGGAATAAAAAGTGTTTTACATAATGTGTAAACATTTAAAATGTTTTAATCACTCCTTCATTCACATAGTGTATGGAAACTAATCTGCAAAAATAGCCCGTTTTGAATCCATCATGGTAGTCATATCATTACCATGGATAAATTTACACTACCGTTTAAAACTTGTCCTTATATTTTTGCTGTATTTTATTCAATAATATCTTGAAAAGTGTAGGTTCAAATACTGTAAGCTCAACATTAGAGGGTATTTTTAGACATTTTTTAATATTTCATATTGGTTTAGGAACATTAAGCTATTCGGTGATAAATAACATACCTTCTGTAATTCCTCTATAAGTTATCTGCCTCAAAATTTGCTCACCCCTTATTAGATATGAGGCATAATTTTGTTATAACTTGATTC